CTCTTAAACGATTTCCATCAACATTGCCGCGCCTGCGAGAACCCCATTTTTGGACCCCTCCTAGATGATTTCCATCAACATTGCTACACCTGCCAGAACCCATTTTGTAGACCCCTCCTTTGACCTAAGCTGCGCAGCGAAGACATAGCTCGGTCCTCGCTTGGAAGTTTTGTACACCGGACACAAGTATGTATCCTTCACATCGACTTTGTCGGCAGGTGCTGCTTTGATTTGAATCACTGGCATCGTGAAGTACAGCTCTTTTGGCTGTGACTCAGCAAGGCATCCATTCTTGTCATCCCAACCACAGCCCTCGAGAACCAGCCCGTGAATGTAGGCCCCTTCACGCGAGGGTGCATCGACTCCATCCACCGTCTTCTTAGTTACCTGCGTCACAGAATGTCATCGAGAGAATCCAAATACAATCATCCTTCCAGTCAGCAAGCCAATCATTATTCCAGTCAGGAACCCATCCAATCACACCAGATCACATGAAATCACACGAAAGTGGGTCAACCCGTGTCCGTTCGTCTCCAAGATGCACAGCATATGTATCACACCGAAGAAAGATTTTATATTACGGAGTGAAGACAAAAAAAACACCACTTCCCCTTTTGACCCCAAACTTTTTGCCTTGAACACCAGGAGCCAGCCAGCAGTTCTGGTTTGGCATAGCCTTGGTAGTGGCCTGGATAGAAGCTCAGGTAGGAAACTCCGGTAGCTTGGCGTGTGGGCCGGACCACCACTTCGCCTTTTGGTCCCAAATGTTTTGGTCTTGACAGCCGAAGGCGACAGTTTTGACTCGGCATAATCTTGGCAGCGGCCTGGGTAAAGTTGCTCAAGCAGCTTGGTGTGTGGGCTGGACCACCACTTTGCCTTTTAGTCTCGAAAGTTTTGGTCTTGATAGCCAAAGGCGACAGTTTTGGCTTGGCATAACCTTGGCAGAGGCCTGGGCAAAGTTGCTGCGGTAGCTTGGTGTGTGGGCCGGACCACCACTTCGCCTTTTAGTCCCAAATGTTTTGGTCTTGATAGCCAAAGGTGACAGTTTTGGCTTGGCATAACCTTGGCAGCGGCCTGGGGCAAAGTTGCTCTGGTAGTCTGG